AGACAGGATGGGTATGTTACTGTTAGTACAAATGACGTTTCAAAATACTGTTGCTCGCTTCCATAGAAAAGACAACATCACATTTATGAGAAGGAAAAAAGTGTTGGCTAGCTTACAAAAGAGCCACTTCTTGAGAGTGATCGACCCAATAAATGGATTTTTTTTCTTCAGATAGGTATCAGATAAGAATGTATTATGGATTCTGCTCTATAGGGGTCGCCAGTGGCATCGACACATTCCTTCCCACTGTACATGACTTGAAGGTGTTCCCAAACATCACCTCCAATGATGGAATGTGCCACTTGATCCAGATTTCTTGAAAGTGGACTCCATCCAAGACCATATTTCATGCACTCTAAGTTAACAAGTGCCAAATTTTATTTATTTATATGTATGTTGTCTTTCAATTTACACATGTACATAGTACATTGTATTTGCTAATGTAAGTCATTTCTTTAAATCAATGACTGAAAAGATAATGAAGAGTGTGATAGAATGGAGAAACCAATGAGAAAAAAATATTCATTTAATTAGCGTATATAATATAAGCAAAACGTTCTGCCAGTTGGAAATATTTCACCATTTTTGTGATATCATATATAACCTTGATACAAACTCTAGCTATGATTCTCTAATTTGTTATTTATATTAGACCTATCATTTATGCAGTTCGATGGATTCATTTTGTAAAGATTCTAGAAATTATCATTACAATTACATGACTACTTGCTGTTAAAATTTAAGGCACGTCATGCTGTAAAATAGAGCCTGATGCTCTCATTTCATGCACTTGAGTATCCTTTACTTGAGTGCAATGGTTCTCAAACTGCACACGGAATGTAATGTTGAGATATGTCTGTCAATTAGTGTATTAAAATCTTGTCCTAAATAATTGGTAGTTAGTGATAGTCAAAGCTTTGTATCGTCCATCAATTTTAATGTTTTGCATTTATCATACTGTGTAAATGATATGACTGGCCTCCTCCCTGAAATACAAAAGGTCTAAGGTTCTGGGTGAGGTTTTCATCTGTGCATTCTGCTGAAAGGCCTCGTCTCAAAGGAGCACTTACCTAAAGGGACTCGGTACTGAACTGTCAGATATTTTAGAAGTAGATCTAGGCTTGGTTACGTTTGTGCGTAATTGGAATCAATAAATGTATCGAAGGAATTTATACATGCATATAATATTGTAATTGTGTGACAAAGATGTGTCAGTGAATCATGCCAGTAACAATCAATTATCGTGTAACCCCTTGAAGGCAGGGATTTTGTTGCATCATTCCATCATGATATTGTTTTCCCATAAGTATTCATGCCAATTAATGCTACCAAATTTGTTCACAAAATTTAGTGTTGACCACAAAGTGCCTATTCGTCAATTCATGACTTCATCTATCTTGCCCATATGGACAGGATAAGACTTTGTTGAAAACGTGATTAAATGCATTACAAATTTTCGTAATTTCCCATTGTGTAGTTTCTATGCACAATTATTGTTGTAAAATGAATGTTTGTTCTATTTAAACTCTGAGGTTAAATCTGTTCTGCTCATAGGCCGCTTTTCTTCTCCAGCTTGCATAATCTTTTGGAGTCATTTTGTCAAATATTGCCAAAATGCTAGTCTGGACTCCACTGTTTCAGCAGAAATTTAGTCGACTAAAGATAAATAGCCCCGGTTTTATAGGGGAGGGAGGTTCCTTTGGGAATTTGACATATATGGCAGGGCTGTCATGCTCAAGTGATAAAAAGTATATGTCTCTTACTTTGCCAACAGCAAAGATGTATTATAAAATGAACTTTAGATAAGATAAATTCTTTGACAAATATTTGCCTATGTCTCTGAAGAATTTTTTAAAAAGAAAGGAAACCTTCCAGTGAAAGATACTCTTATCCACTAGGGTTGGAAGGAAGCTATTTGCCAAAATTTACTAGGGTTTTTTTTTCTATTTTCACCAAACGATTTCACAATTTATTTTTTAGAGTGCTCCTTAGACTTTTGAAGATGCAAAAATGATTTCATTAGCTTGTATTTTATAAAAGCAATATAACAAAATTACTGAGCTGTTTGTAAAGATAATGATCAAGTAGCTTATTTGAGGTCACGGATTTGAAAGGGCACACATTTTATAAGGTAGAAATTTTAAGCATGCCATTTTGAAAATTCACTAGGTAGTGGATCCACATTCAATCGAATATTTGTTCATTTAGCAAATAAAAGCCTTAACCCTATCCGTACGTCATGTTTTATTATCGTATCCATACGACGTGGGGAACTCTGTGCCTCCATTTTCCAAAGAGAAAATTTACTTGTTAATCCGACCTGTACGCTTTGCGTCTGTCAAAATGATTTTTTGAGAAATACTGAAAGTTTCAAAGAGATCTTTGCACTGGAAGTATTCTAAAATGTGAAGAATACAACCCCTAGGGTACAAAATAACCCCAGGCATACGGATAGGGTTAAATAATCAAATGTCTCACGAAATGAAATAATTGAAGGTTCTGAGCCTCCCTTTTTTCACAGAAACATGCTCTTTATAACAACAGTTGCTGAAGAGCAGAGTATTCTGCACATTATGAGATTGTTGGCAGCCCTGAAACCTTGTGTATCTTATAAGGTGGTCAACATCTGATTTAATTGTATAGCACTGTGAGACTGAAGTTGAAGGCATTTCAGATTCTCTATGCTTTGTCCTGCGTAATGCCAGGCTACACAGTGCTCAAAAGTTCTGTATGAGCCACTACTGAACTGTGATATTTCGATGTGAATGAAGACCAGGGTTTTCATCTCATTGTTTAATGTCATTGCCTTTCTTTTCATAATTTTTGTACATTTCTGTTGACATTTGTATTTGACCATGGTAAACAGTATTTCAGAGATTAAAAATAAATTTGTAATTCACAAAATGAACACCTGAAGTGTTTATACAATTTTTATTAGCTTTATCTTAAAGTTCCAATAGCAACTCTAAAATGAGCAGATCAACAAAAAAACAATTTATGATGCACAAAAACATATGCATACAGCCAGCATGAACAACAAAAAAGTAAATTCTTTCAAAGAAAGCGATATGGATGGGGATCATCAAGAGGCACAAGCAATCACAAATTATGCTCTTCAGTTCACTTCACTCTCCACAACAAAGGATCCTTTCATCCAAATAAACAAAATTCTTCTCAGCACAGTCACCCTGTGTCATACTAACAACACGTTGCTGCATAACGTTATAAAGGTATCCTGGCAGAAAAGAAATACCTTGGACTTTGCATCAAAATGAAATAAGAACATTTCAGCTGCACACATTGAAAATATACCTGGAAGGAACACTTCCAGGTACACAAAACATTTTTTTTAAATGCACACCCTTTTTCAACACCTTCATAGCATTCAAACATCAGTCAGAAAATGAAAACACAACGAGCACATTACATAAAAACCACAAAGTTTAACAACTATATTAGAGATCATTACAGCAATGTGGCTTAATTGTCATGCATACTGGAAGTGTGAATAAATCTAATGTCCTTCTAAGGATGACTGGTTCACTTCTCTACAAAGACATCATAACTCCTTCCCCAGTAAATCAAATGAAAACTCAAACAAGATGCTTACCATGACCACAAATTAGTAAATTAAAAAGTCAGTAAACTCAACCTTTGCACTGCTAGCTCACTGACCACATTAAAACTACAGAGCAGCTTCAGGCAGGGCTCCTGTCCATGTAATGCGCAAAACTTAGGAACCTGCGATGGACATTTATTTTTTTAAAAACAAACAATATTTAAAAAATGATGATGTTGTTTCAATGTTTATTTTTAGAGCATTTAATTACTGACTATGCCACCCCAAAAGAATGTAATGACAATGTGGCTATGTCCAACACCTTTGTAAACTTTAAACTTATTGATGCTTAAATATACAGTAAATTATTCAAAATCATCAAATAATATGCACATTATGTTTACCTCAAAGCAAAACTAATGGACTAAAACCTATTTCACACACCACTTTTTACTTTATGAAGTAAAGAGCACCTTCCCGTTCTCCAGTTTGTGAAATAAACTATTTTTTTAAAAAGCTACTTTGATCCAACAACTTCAGCGAGTGAAATGAAGCATACTAGTAAAAACAAAGTCGAAGCATTACTTCAGCTCCTAAAACTTTCAAAAGAAACAAAAAACTTCTTAGTTTTGTTGCAGCATTCTGCATCCTTAAATAAAAAAGGAAACTACTCCTTGAATAAATTTAGGTTTAGAGTAATGGGAGAAACTGGGCAAGACTTGAGGTGATTTACCAAATTAACTTTGGACTAACAAGACAAAGGGAACATCAAAACCTTAAACAGCATTTTGCCGGACGACAAAAATATATTACAATTTTTTCCTCAAAACAAGCAATGGCATTATGGCAGCAAATCTACAAACATACATTATGATTAGAAATGTACATCTTCGCCATTCATTTGCGCATCATTCTTGACCAGAAAGACAAGAGTCAACCCAGGCAGTGGGGGTTACATCCCAGTAGAAAGATGGCCATGTTTAACGAAATATCTTTCCCAGGAGGGAATTGTGAACTCGCATCTTTCATGAGCAAACAAGGAGCTGAGCTATCACACCACGAACTATGGAATGCCACACTGCAGGGTACAGTGGGCAGGATATGATATGACTGCATCACAGGGTAGTGTAAAAGCTCTACCTGGTATTGATGGGAGGTGCAGAGTGAGAGCATTTCTCTGTCTCTTCTCTGCATCGATCTCACGAGTCTTCCTCCTCATACCTATCCAGGGCTCTTCAGGTAAATTTGACTTTCTTTGCCAAGAACAAAACTTCCTCGGTTAAAGTAGCACAAATCAATAGACCCCTGAGGAAAGCCAGTAGAGTTATGCCTGTGAGACCCAGTAGGAAAAGCCCTGAGGGTGGGGCTGGTACTGCGAAGCCACTGGAGCAGCCGGTGGGGGTGGGGCAGGCTGGGGAGCTGGCTGCACTAAGTGGGCGGGGAGGTGAGGGTGCTGGGCAGGCTGCATGCCAGCAAAGTGGGGCTGGAAGTGGTGGGAGGAGGTTGGAGGCAGACCTACACCGGTGCTGGCTGTGGATGGAGAAGGGCGGGGCTGAGGTGGGCAGTGCAAACGACGCTGCCGCTACAGGGGGAGGCGCGGCAGCCGAGGAGATGGCCACCGAGTACTGGGGGAAGGGCTGGGTGCTGGACACGATGACCGCCGAGCCAGGGGGAGCCAGCAGCTGTTGCTCACCGGCCGACGGGTTGGGCTGAGAGACGGCCACATGCTCAAAGTTCTGGTACTGCGGAGGGGCTGGGGGAACTTGCTGGGCGCCTGCCTCAAACTCATACATCTCCTGGCTGGGTGGGGGCTGGGCTCCTGCCACGTGGGCGTGGGGGTGGTGGTGGAGGTGCTCCGGGTGGCCGGCGGGCGGCTGCAGAGAAGGCGGTGCCGTGTGCTCAATCTGAATGGCCTGAGGGGGCGGGTGCTCCATGAGGACCTGCCGCGGGGGCCCACCCCCCACTGGGTGCTCGATGTGTATCTGTGCGGGGGCGGGGACGCGGTGGTGAGTGATGTGAATGGGAGCACCGTGGGGACCGGGGTGTTCTACCACAATCTGCGTTGGTGGGGGGCCCTCCAGTCTAGGGGGAGCTTCCAGGTGCAAGTGTTGTGGGGCCAGGTGGACCTGAGGGGGCAGACTGGGGTCGATCTGTTGCATAATGTGGTGACCAGGGGGGAGGCTGGTGGGAACGCCAGCCATGGGGGCCAGACTAGTGGGTACAGCCGAGAGCAGCGGCCGGTGCTGGTGGGGGATGCCGGACTCCTGAGAGGTTGGGGGGAGGTTCGGGTCTGAAGCCATCGCAGGGTAGCGAAGTGGCTGTCCCTGGTACTGAGGGGAGGCAGGGTGAGAGGGTTTCTCCTCCTCTTGTTCTCCTTCTGGGTTGTTTTCAGCTTCTTCCTCCTTCTCTCCATCTTGGGCTGGTTCACCTTGCTGTTTATTCTTTAGTATACCTAACAGGAGCAATGGAGAGCAGCGTTACACTAAGTAAAAAAATTAAAACATCAAGATACCAGTCCTGCACAACAAACTGGCAGAAAAATGGAATCCTATATCCAGTCCAGCAAAAAGAAATAGCCAGTTCACAACCCAGTAAAGGGTACACAGTATGCATGCAACAATTAGGCTTTTGAGTTTATAGGCTGAGTGCACACATGCCATTATTGAGTCCAGGGAAAAATCTTACAAAAGCAAAAGAGCCCTCTACCAAAGAATTCATAAGCAGTAACAGACAGTATCACTAACAAGTCCCAACTTCATCCAGTATAGAAATTGGAGAAAAAATATTTTCACAAGACCTTTAAAGACAAGAAAATGGTTTTCTCTCATAGAGATTTTCTCCACAAAAATCCAGTTCTATTCCCAGAAGACACCAGCCAACCATTGACACTTATTTAAAATCTATTAACATTGTTCTGCACAACTCAAATTTCTTATAATATTATAAAGTATAACTCCCAATCCTAAAGCAAGAAGCAGACTCATTCTTCTAGCTCACTGTCCAGTGCCCTTCCCCTGAAATACTTGAATAGTTTTGAAACTAAACAGCTGACAGGCCAAAACCATAGTGCATGTGAGAAGCCCAAAAGTTGTACCAACCTCTGATCTTCTTTTTCTCTGGTTCATGCTGAGGGCTTGATCCTTTTCTCTTGGCACTATTTTCTGCAAATGAGAAAAACAATTTTTTTTAAAAATTAGATTGAATAAATAACCATCTACATTAACTTCAAGTAATTGAAAGTTGTTATCAACTTCTTCAGAATATGACAGTCGCTATTCATTAGTTGCGAGATGTGTATCCTTATGTGCTACCAAATAGCACCAAAATTTTCAGTCACGTGCCAAAAAAGCGACAAAACTGTGTACTTATGCTCAACACGATGTTAAGCAGCGTGCGACTGGCTAAGCCCTTGCGCGACTGGCAATTCACAGAAGAGAGATAGCTACAAATTTTTATATCAAAATGGACAAGGAAGTACAAACTCCGTCAGATGGGAGTTCTAGGAGCCGCTGACATTTTTAATTCCCTACATGGCTAATCCCGTGTAAGTCCTCCTCCTCCTCTTCTTCTTCCTCCTCCTCCTCTTCTTCCTCCTTTTCCTCCTCCTGCTGTCCGTTAAAAAAAACACCAAAAAAACAAAACAAGATTAGACTCACAAAACTTGCATTGGGTCGAATTGATGAACATTCTACACACACACCACCACCACACACGGCAAGTCAACAGTCACTCCCTGGCTAGGCATTTTGAACAATAAAGATGCTCAAAAGCTGCAACACGCCCAGTCTATTGCACACGACAAGACCCTAGATAGCTACATGGACCGATCGCAGGAGACTGTTTCTTTATAATCTTACTTGACTGATTTTAGAGTGGTGAAGACAACACGTTACAGGACGTCGCATCGTGCATAAGGAAACAAGCTCTTAGACTTGGTCTAACATCACTATAAGGGAGTCTTACACACTAAGAAGTCGATTTGAGCACTCAGCACACACTGCCAGTGACTTACTAAAATATGAAAACCCCTGACACTAATTTTTCCATACTCACTACAATTAAACAAAATGGGGAATGGCATTGACAGATTAGCTGCATAGCTACAAGGAGGAGCTAAGAGGTAAAACTAGAGGAAGCCTTGGCACTTTGCGGCAAAAAAGTAAAAACCAGAAAAACAAAAGAAAAGAGAGTCCAGGTGAAGAAAGAGCTGTGTTTGCTATAGTTATCTTAAACAGTTATTAGTTCTGCATTCCAAAGTAAATTTTGGGACATACTAAAAAAATAAATTATGCTGGGGTGGATTTTCACTGGAGTCGTTGCCTATTGAGCTTTTCCAACCCCTTCTAAACTCTCATTGGACATAGACAATAAATAATAATGTATTCCTACCCCATGGCACATCGGGAGACTTGGGCGGCGGCATGCTTCTGTTCTCCTCATCTCTCTTCATATCTATAGGTGACTGAGCGGTCACTGCTGTAGGTGGTGGTGGTGGGGGCATCAGGGCTGCCGAGCTCACAACACAGTGTCCATGACTTGGGGGTCTGCCAGGGAAACAGTAAAAAACCAACATCAGAGCTTCCAGCAGCTGATGTCATTTTTCAAGGATTTTCGGGTCCAGGGCAGCGCCCTAGTAGGGGGGTTGAGATTTTTTGGTTTCAGGGCATCTTAAGTATAGTATGCCATTTCTGGCTATTCAAGCTTAAATTTAACAAGAAAATAAGTGAGAAAAAAACATACTTTGCATAAAAAATGTTCTGCTTGTTAACCCATATAAATTCAAAGCCATGCTTTCTCCCTTGTACCGATACTGTACATCCACAGCAGTAGTGTAACAGCTCGATCTATAAAACTTGACAGTTAATGTCAACTTTCATCTGCTTGTGTTGGTTTGCACCATGTGTAGAATCCTTATAATAGTATAACAGCTAGATCTAAATAACTTGACAGCTTATAATCAACTTAAATCTACAACAATATTTACAAATAAACAAATTTGATTTTTTTTAAAATCAAGCTCTCTTCAGTTTTCTTTTCTTGGCAGGCCCAAGATCCATTGAACCGCATTCGTCATTTCTTCCTCTTGTTTACAGAGCAGGTGCTCTGCTTCTTGTGCTTTAGAAAGTGAAAGTGAAAGACACTGTCTACACTTTCAAATAAAAGAGCACTTCCAGTATGGGTTGACTATTAATAATTACGGAAATTTTTTATTTCGCATTAAAAAAAATAAAAATTTTAAGGTTTTTTTTTGGGCACGAACTTTCACGGAAATTTTTTCCGTTTGCGGAATTCTGCTAATTTGCGGAAATCCGCAAAATAGCGGAAGACTGGAAGCACTGCAACATGTGGAGGTAAATTCAGAAAAATGCATCAGTGGGCCTGATCTTTTGCGTTATTGAGCAAGCACAAAATGTCTCATTTGATTCTGATTCAACACCCTTTCAGGCATTGTATAAGCTGTAAATTTTTCCTTTCCAAAACTGAATGAGGGGGGTGGGGGCAGGTTGGGTGTGTGTGTGTGTGTTTGTGTGTGTGTGTGTGTGTGTGTGTGTGTGTGTGTGTGCGCGCGTGAGTGTGTGTGTGTGAGACAACTAGATGGCTCACAAGCTGCAGGTGCCACACGGCACGAACAGACCTTATCTACCTTAGATCAACATGTGTTATGTCTCTGTATTCCTTCCCCCTTTCTTCTTGATTCAGTACTGAAGTTATCACTGGGCCAGGCTCTCTGCTTTCCAAATGACATGCTTGAATTTTGTTGGGCTTTTAACATTCTCAGCATAAACACAGAAGTTCTTTTCTATCTTCAAACCCTCACCTGGACTCAAGGCCTGGCGACTGGCTTGGCTGGTGTGATGGTGACAGAGCTGGTGGCGGTCCCAGTAAATGTTGAGGGAGGGGGTGGGGCGGCTGGTGGGGGAGGGGTGGGCCCTGGTGGGGTGGAGGGGGAGGCAATCCCTGATGGTGAAGCGGGGGCGGGGGTCCTTGATGATGCGAAGGCAGGCCCTGGTGTGGCGGGGGAGGTGGGGGCATACTTGGCGGGAACTGAGGCGGGCCGGGGGGAGGTGGGCCCAAGATCTGTTGTCCCTCTGGGGGTGGGGGCCCGGCCAGCAGAGGCTGAGGGGCGTGCTGGATGATGGTCTGACCGCCCAGGTGGTGGGCAAACTGGCCCTGCTCTGGGGGTAGGTGAGACACAATCAGGCCGGGCGGCGGGCCCTGCACCAACTGGGGCGCCATGGGGGGTGGGGGCTGTGGGCCCTGGGAGATGGGAGCTGGGACTGACTGTGGGGGCGGGCTGGACCGGACCAGGTTCACCAGGTGAGGGGGGCCATGCTGCAAGAGAGACAAATGAAACACAGGCTGGAGTAAAACCTCGAGGCACTCTTTACAGACTTGACAACTTTTTCAAAACCCAACCAGGGACACCCAATGGTATAACTTTGGATTACATAACAACAAAATTACATCAAGTGGGACTGCTTTTGGTGGAATGTATGCGATACGGCTCTAAAATTCTCAATTGCAAAAACCAGGATAGTCCCTAAAAAATTTGAGCAGTTGACAGGCCTAGAGTAATCAACTAGGTACAATAGAGTTAAAAAGTAGTGGCTTCTCCAGAAAATGTTAAGAAAATCTTCCTGTATCTTCATCTTCAAACAACATTCTCATTGATCTAGATGGACTAGGAACATAACAGTTATAGTTTGAAAAAGGAAGGAATATATAGAATACAAACCTACCAATGCAAGAATCAAATAGATTTCTTGTACAAAAGGATGCATGAAAAAACAGAAAGATATCTCTGTGGTAACTTGAAAGCCTCCTCATAGTAACAGAAGCCAAAGAACAGTTCATAACATGGTAGACAGTCAATGTAGACAGAGTCAGGCTAGCTGTACATACAATAAAATAAAGTCAATAGAAGGAAAGTCACATGATAGAAAAAGGAGAAATAAATATAACATTCAAAATGGTTTTTTAAAGAGTATATTCCAGAAGACAGAAATCAAACCTATGAAAGAGAGATACAATAAAAACTGGAGAAGAGAAAAAAAGATTTGTACTGCAAGCAGCAATCACAAGGACCTCACCTGGTACCCCAACAAATTCTCTGGAATCTTGTCATCTTTCTCCTCGGTAAACCTGCGCTTCACCATATCCGCTTCCTTAGGTGTGGTGTAATACAGACTGGCGTTAGATGAAGCCACCGTGTACATGACTGACGTCGGAGCTGACATAGACGGTACAGGCTACACAAGAAAAGGAAAATCACATTAGTACAAATTAGACATTTTAGTATGTTGCAGAAAAAATATTCACATACCCAAACCAAACTACTTGACCAAAATTTTGTTGTGACCAAATAGTGACTTTTAAACTTGCCCACTCAGGGAAATGGTCACGCCCGTTTCATCAAAATTTACACAACAGTCAATTTTCTTTTTCTAACCTGTTTTTATTTTTTATGTCTCTAAGTTGTAGAGGTTTTAAAAGTTTAAAAGACCCTTCTCTCCCGGAGATACTCAAAGTGCAAACACTTCAACATTCCTTCAAGTACCGATCTTTAATACCAATAATTGAAAAAGAAGGGGGGGACCTTTCCAAACATAACAATGATAAATAAATAAAATGCATTGCTGAAATGTGTATTTTGCATAACACTGCTATAAACTTTTTTGCCTTAGTTTAGATCATTTAGGAGAGGCCTTTCTTCAACACAACCTGTCCTTGCTAACCTCAACTGAGCCAGATACATCCCAGCAGGAAGATGGCAATACAATGCAATACAATAATCCAAATTTTTATTCTTTGCATGCTACGTCAAGAGACTAGCCATTCCATCCTAGACACCTGCCAAGTTTTATAATAAAAAAAGACACTGGCATTTATGAGTCTTCCAATTCCAACCGTCTTGCCAAAATCATGTGTGTCTCAAGACACCAGTACCTGTGGTGGTGGAGCTTGTAGAATCCCGTGCTGTGGACCTTGAGCCAATATGGGCGGCCCGGGTTGCTGCACCATGCCAGGTGGCGCCATCGACACAGCCTGTGAGACCAGCTGGACAGACGACTGCACATGGGAGTAGGCGGCCATTGGAGCAGCCACAGCCTGCTAGAGGGACCACACAGGCAAACAAAATAATAATAACAATAATAATAATAATAATAATAATATATGGTATTTATATAGTGTTCAACCCTGATTAAAGTACACAGGCTCTAGTTTTCGCAAGGTTGTACGGCGCTCGCAACTGCATAAGACACACAAAGGCTCTGGGCACTTTACGATACAACAGTAACATATAATCAGTACATTGCGTTCTGACCAAAAGAAAATCTCTCTCTAAATATTTATCTCATCAATTCAAAAACAGAAATGAACTAAAGGATTTGATCTCTCATTCGAACCTGTTGAAGACGGCCACCTATGGTACAAGATAAAAGTGTCCGGCGTAGACAGGTGATCGTCTCACAGTGTCATTATGACGTAAAAAAGATAAAAGGGAGGAAATCAGAACAGGCTGTTCTAAAAGGTGATAGTCTTACACAGGTGGCTTTTAGAGCAGGTTCGACTGTAACGACAGGCAGCGTTATTTTAGCTTAAAGAGTTCAGAGAGTGCTTGCTCCAGAAAAGGAACTTATTTCAGTATAAGACAGATTTCCAGTACAATTTGTAATATCCCTTTACAAAGTATATTGACAAAGATGCAATCTAAAGTCGACTACTTCATCAGTGCAAAAGGACTGCAAAGACACTACAAAAATTTTCTTGTAAATGAAAACTTAATCTACAGATAGATAAAAAATTTTGGACAAGCAAATCAGGAACAAAACTGACAGGTAACCAGCTTGAACCATCAACTAGAAAAACTCGTTTCCCTGTAATAGTGCACAAATATACACAGAGGTTTCCTTTTGACGGACTCACCTGAACAGGCTGTGGTGCGGGGACCACCTGAGGCATGCCCACTGGGGTCAGATGCTGGGGCGGTGGGGCAGAAACTTGCTGGCTCAGGAGAACTTGCTGCTGGCCTGCCAACTCCATGGGTGCTGTGGCACAAGGGACAAAAGACAAAGTTTAAGGATATAAAAAAAATAAAGTGATGCACACTTGTTCCAAATTTTGCTTCTCATAATCCTTCCTCTGCACATTCTACATCCGCACATGTTTCCTGTTTATGTTGTCTGTTCAATTTGCAACAGTTTCAGGAGCCAACCCATCCATTTTGATAGCAATGCCAATCGGGCTTCCATGCGTGGCGAAAATTTGGTCCCCATTTGTGGGTGAATTTTTGGACCGGGTCAGAACGATAGTAACTAACTTTCTCGAGCTCGTTCTGCGCTATTTCTGGACCAAGGTGAATGAAACTTGGCAACCAATTAGAAAATAGGGCAAACTAATGATATGTGGAAGTCGAAGTTCATACTCATAAATTTACCTATACTTTTGGTGTCGGAAACACTTTCGTATTGGGTATACCGAAAACTATAAGGAGTTCGATATTCGGCGCCAAGATGGTAAGAAATCCATCTTTCCTTTATAAAGTGTTCAAATTTGAACCTTCTGTGTCAAGTAGTTGTGCAGAATTTATCATAAATGAACGACTACCCCCCTGTTCAAAGCGGCTTCGCACTGAGACCGGCCATTTTCCCCTCACTCCCAATGCAAATGTCTGTGACCTACAAATCCCGCATGACTATTCCGAGCCCGTTCATTGGTCACTTGAAATAGGGCAATGGCGGGTGCACCCATCCGCTTGTTTTTCTCTGTTCCCCTGTAACATCGCAATGGGGGTATCCAAGGCGAGCTTACCTCGCCTAGGGGTGTTCGCGTCTCAACTGGAAAAAGGGGTTTTAATTGAACGGCACGCTAAATTGAAATTATATTTTATGGTTGGCATGGTCTAAAGTCATCAAAGAAAGCTTTGCCATTATTTAGTCACGCTGCCAACATATTCTTAAAGATCCCTTGTTGTGATACAATGCTATAAATAAAATGGACTCATCCCGACACCCTTTATCACAAAATCGTAATATGAACACCAATGTTTAGGAGTATTTTCCTATATGTGGGTCATCCATATTTTGCCGACCTTTACAACCCAATAACTTTTTTATTTTTGAAATGATTGTTAAAATTCAAGAAGTATTATTCTTAGAATTGAAAATTCTTTCTTAGGTCCCATATATAAAAGGGCTAAAGTGAAAATTTATATTTTCATTCGCACTGCTAATTTTGGGCAATATCTGTCAACAAGTCAAAGTTGTTGGGGTTTTTTTGTTAACACACCTTGAGAATCTAAAAATAGCCCACCCCGAAATGGGGTATACCAATCTGTACAGAGCGTTAATTTTAAACACTTTTGAAGCCCTATTAATAATCATAAAATCCCGTCCTCACCACATGTGGTTACTATCACCAATTAGTGAGTGGACAAAAGTTCTATTTCTTAGCATAAGTCTCATTGTTGTGGTAGCAGTGAAGTGGTTGATATCAAAACAAGCAAAGTCACTCAATGCCCACAGTGCAGCAGTCAGCCCCCGGCCATGTACTCACGTGGTTGCTGCTGCATGATGGAGGCCGCCGACACGGGCATGCTGTTCACAAGGGGCATGGTGGTCAAGCTCAGGCTTTGGGGAATCACCATTGGCTGGCCTGGGGCTGTGTTGGCCATGGCTGAGAGAAACAGATTTTGCTTGTACTACGGTTTGAGTTCAAACAAAGCACGGAACCAAAATTATCATTTCTACGACTGCTAAATTTTGCACAACCCAATCTGGGACACCCAATGTTACAACATCAGATTATATATATTATATAACAATAAACGAAATTATATCAGGCGGGATTGGTTTCGATTTACTGTATTTGATAAGGCTCTCAAATTCTTGATTGCCAAATAGCGGAGAGTCCCAGGAAATTCAGGACAGTTGGCAAACCTGCATTTTGTGCTGAAGAGAGGAGGGGGAAAGCTAGACAAACAGACAGAAACAGAAGTAGAGCAGAGAAGAAGGGCATGCCAGTGGTGCCCTCAATCACCTCCACTTGTGTAAAAAAGCTCATGTCCACAAAGACGGGTCATACAGTGCTGAGAAATAGCAAGATATCAAAAAGAAACACCACTAGGTCTTAATGTACTTGAACTTAGCAGGCTACAAGCTTAAAATAGAGACCAGCATTATTTTTACCAGTGACAACTCAATAATTGTCTCACTCCAACCCAAGCAAACTGCCACCTTTTGGAAAGTTAAATAGAGAGAACTATGCATGGCCACATTTCTGAACTTTACAAATAACAAACAAAACTAGCTGCTTTACATTAAGGTATATTTTTTATGGGTGTTCTCAGAGCCCAGACTAGTACCAGTACGCTGATAAATTTTCTGGCAGCCAAGACATAAAGAGTTAAAAATACATGACATGTTTAAGGAAGCAAAAGCTTGTGCAGTGGTAAACATCAAGAGCAGTGCTCACCTTGTGGTAATGCAGGCATAGAATTAGCCACTGACCCAGCTGGTACCAGCATGGTTGGAGGTCCCACTTGCTGAACTGTAGACATAGACAGATCGTTTCTGTTTTGTTATAGTAAGTTTTACAGCACTTACAACACAAATAAGTCATATAAGTGCCGAAGATGTCACAAGAGAGTAACAAACACACAAAAAAAAGAAAAGAAAGAAAGAAAGAAAAGAAGAAAAAAAAAGAAAAGAGAAAGACCAAAAAGAGGTAACTGAACTTGAGGTGCGCCACCAGCTCAGTGGGCAATAAGCTGTACAGCGGTGGAGGACAACCCGGGTCCAAATCCCCAGCAGTGTATTCCACAACTTGGGCTGTTTAAAGAATTTTTATGACTCCCACTTGTAGTCCTATTGAAGTTGGAAGTCAAATCATAGGTCCCGCCTCACAAACAGCACATCAATTTGTTGTGTTGACAGTTGCAAAATATTTCTTAGCCTTGAGTTTCATCATTTAAACCCAGAGGTTACAAAAGCAACCAAAGGGATGATATTAATACCATCTGAAAAACTCTGCACATTTTCCAACATAAAGCAGCAAATTTTAATATACAAATTCCTCAATTCTTTGATTCGATGAGCAAAATTAATTTTGCCTGAAAGCAAATTGAAAACTGACATGAAACACAATTTTAATAATTGTTCCATGAGGGGAAAAACTGTTATAGAAATTCATTAGATTTTTTAAATAAGTAGGTGCTTTTACACCTATATCAACACAATTTAGATCATTTAGGAAGCGGGCTTCCCATCCTGCCTGTCAGGGCCAACTTGGGCTGTGAGGGTTACAACATCCCAGCAAAAAGACAGACAGTTGCTAAAAATTTCTCAACATTACATTAAGGAATGAAACTCAGGTCTTGTTCATGCGACAGCCAAGCATTTTTCCTATGAATACATTTACACCAATTGTCCAATACAAGAGGCTCATGCCTTTCCATCCAAAAACCATTTGAAGTGACTAACAGTCATTTTGAGGAACATTTCCTGATTCAGCAAAAGGTATATATTACACCCATAAATCATATGCACACAATAAGTTTAAGAGTGCAAGTAGACAGACTCGTTTTAAAAGAAAACAAAAATGGTTTCATTTACACATGTTAAAAAACATTAGTAACAACAACCCTTGAATTGACAATATTTTACCCCTCCTCGTACACTTATTCCAAAATGTCAGTTTACCTTCATGACCACAAAAACTAAACAATTAAAGAATACAAGAGCTCAAAATAAGACTTCCTGAAGGCCAATCAAAAAAAATTATTTCACTATAATTTGGATTTTCATAGATGGTGTCAAACTAAAAATTCTGAAAGAAAAATAATCATCTTGTAAAGTTTGTAGGCAATCAGGGAAACTAAAAAAATAAAGGCACACCAAGGTCCCTGGGTAGTTTCCAGCAACTATGAGGAACTACTGCTGTTCATCCTCTGGCCTTCTTCAAATCATTGCCCATTGTTTACTTTTATGGCTCAAAGGTTTAACTTCTGTATTTTAAAAAGATACTCTCTCTGCTAATAGTTACTAAGGTGAAACCGGAAACTCAAAAGTTTCAAAAGTAAAAGCATATAATTAAAAATGCTTACATACTGTCATCTCATTTTTAATGGCATAATTCTGAGAGTAAACTTTTACTTGGCCTGCATGCCAATTAACCAACAGGCTAAAAAATAGGATTAAATATACATACACAAATGACCTTAAGTACTGGATCTAAATTCATTTAACACTTTTTAAAACATCTATTTCGACTTTAGGCCTCGGGCTACAACAGCGAGATACATTCTTAACTCCCATCAGCCAGAGTTAATTTCATGGATTTTTGTGACCAGCCAGAATTAAATCCTCCTTATCATTTAAAATTCATGAAGCTTTCTGTATCACTGACTATTTGGGATCTAGATCTACCTTGTTCAATATGCCAAAATTTTAACCATCGGTAACATCAGGGAAGCGGGTTGTGAGACTGAATGCAGAAAAAGAATGTAAAACTTTGGTTAGCAATCTTGATTTAGAAAACAAATAGAGCCAGCATTGCCTGTAATACAGCTGGCTCCACTTTAAAAAAAAGTCTTCAAGTGTCAAATTTTCATAAAGAAAGGAAGTACCATCTTGTCTATTTTTAATTCGACCTAATTACAAATATGGCTTTGGAGGGCTGGATGGAAACCTTTAGTTAACTAGGAGAGGGGAAAACGACACACAATATGTCGTTCTGGCAGACAGGGATAAAGTAAACGGAAACGACATGTGGAGCATGTTGTTCTGGCCAAAAACAAGTTACGCTTTGATGTCCCAATGACCCGTGAAAGCAGCTGCCTACCTTGAGGCGGGAGGGCTTGCATGGGCTGCTCTTGCACTGCAGCAATGGTAGCCAGGGGAGGCTGTCCATGACCAAGCTGGGGCTCTAGGAACGTTGCTGGAACAAGAGATGGAGGTGTGGTTTCAGTCCCAGCACTATTATTAATATTAACTATACGCCATGAAACATAAGATAAAGATCATGGCAAAAAGTACCACCACAAAAATAGTTTTTAAAAACTCACCACTTTGTCTGAACCACACAACACACATTTACTGTCTCAAACCACAGATTTGAGATTTGACGAAAAAGCAATACATTCACACATTCACATATTCACAATTACAATATTGCAATTACATTTATATAAATGGATCCAGACAAAAGAAAAAACATGGGTAAAGACAAAACTGTACTGTCTGGTAAGTCCTGAAAATTATGTTTCCAAAGATAAGAAATATTTTGTAAATAAAAGGCATAAAAAATGATCCATCTCCCTGTGGGCAATAGACAGAGTTCGGTATCAACACAAGTCATTTAATCATTAGCTGTGGAACAACACACGCTCATGATGGTCAGAAAGTTTCAGCATGACAGAGTTGGAAAACTATCAAATATAGTAGATTGTTCCGCTGAAATAAAAAGTAGATTGTGCTCAACACTAAAGCAATACAGGAAAAAACACAATGACTGAAACAACATAGTCCAGAGAGTTCTATTCCAACGAATTAATACATACATCACATAAAATAAAAGGAGAAATTCAGATGACAAAAAAAAAAGTTCAGTGAGCTTCCACAAAAAGACAAGTTTTGCTGAGAAATTGTGTCAACTCATCAACTGATGGTAGCAATAAGTGTTGGCCCACCTGTAGCCTTCAGTGCTGTCTCAGATTGTCTCTGAAGGGTGTTCAGCTGGCCTGTTATTATGTTGGAGAGGTGTATCAGTGTCTGATCAATGGGGAATGATCAACCACCTTCTTAATCTCCGTTACATTCAAACCAGAACACAATATCCTAAAACAAGTATGAGCATCATAAATCATTTAACTGTAAGGTAGTGGTAATGCTTCATTCATATCTTCATAGGCTTCAACACTTCCACAACACTTTGTAGAGGATGGTGCACTAGCATCATCTTCTGAGGAAACAACCAGACATAAAATACAATTTCAAAACCACTGGTATTTCTGTCTCATGAACCAGGTGGAAGACGATATCTCACTTCTACTTCTATTTCAAATTCCTGTACTAGGAGGGCATTCAGAATGATGGTTTTACGATTATGCAAAACAAAATGCAAGCAGTATGTTGGGTCCAGAAACATTTGTCCATGTTTCAAATCTATGGATGTCAACTCAACAGAACAGCATACACATGGCGAGAGGAAAAGCCAATCTTGTAGCATGATTACTTTATGACAACACTGAGGGCCAACTTGCACGATGAGGTACAGAAGAAAAACATGAAACACAGCGTACAATGTACATGAGTACATCACTTTGACAGAATATAATGATCTCTAGCAATGACATTTGTAACTAATTATGATCATATCAAGAAATTAGTACATCATTAGTAATGTGGTTCCTTAGGAGACTTGAGAAAATCGGGGAAGGAAAAGAAATCAAATGAGGTAGTGCTTGATGAGGCCCACGTGCGACGCTCACTGTTAAAAACAATCAGGAAACGACAAATGTAGTTTTTGAGACATCTGAATAGACATAGAGGTCTTGAACATCTGGCTCTCACTGGCAAAACTGAAGGCAAACGAGGCAGGAGTAGGCCCAGAGCAACCTACTTACGGAACCAAAACAAATGGGTAACCGGGAAAGATCACTGAAATGTAGGTTTTTTAAGAGCATCCAAGCAAATGAATGAATGGAGAACCATGATCGCCGATGTCTGTCACAGATCGGGCACTGGATGATAATGAGTACATCCACAGTTCAACAACCCAGCAGCTCATGGTTTCTGGGGATACTCGGCTTGTATTTGTAAATCATCACAGGTAAATTAATGATCAATGACGGACCTGAGATGAAAAAGAAGTATGATATGAATTACTGATATCTGTGTGCCTGTGTATCACTTGCTGGAACCCAACAACCAGCGAGTAACATCATCTCCTACTTTTAAGGAATATTTGAAATTAGAGACTTTGCCCTGACGGTGTCCTGAAAAGTCACAACATGCTGTATTATCCATGCTATAAAAAAACAAAAACAATCATGACTAGGATGACATGTTAAATCTTGAATAGAAAGAAACAAGTAAACACAGTTTTATTTGTAATAATACAGAAATGCTGAGAAAAAGTAGATGTTTTTCGTTACACTTGAAACCAATGTCAAGTAGTTCTGTTGGAAAAAAATCGAAAACCAGGACATGTTATTATTGATCAATAACAGGCATACACAGTCACAATTTACAATCCAAACTTACCTTTTACGCTAATTTGTGCTGACCATACAACTCTCACAATTAAGAGAAAAGTCAAATTTACCCAATTTATCCATTACTAACTGAAAGTTTCACACATCTAAGCATGACTCTTACAAGAATACCTTTTAACAAGCAAGATAAACATAGTCTAAATAGTCTATTATTAAGCAATACCCGGTAGCCATTCATTCAGACCAAAACATAAACATCACAAACACAAACCACTAACACAAGAGACAACCCACGCTACAGAAAAAGTCCATTACATGCTCCATACAAACAGTCCAACATTTCACAAGAGTGGTAACTAGCATGTTCAAACAAAACTGTCTTGGGGAGCTTCTTCCATTTCTGTACAGTTTATATATATATATAATATATATATTATATACATATACAGTGAAACTCGGTTATAACGAAGTCCTCTGGCCTGACCTCGAAGTTCGTAGAATCCGTGTGTTCACTATTAAAAAATGGTGAACTAACGCATGCATTTTTTTATCAGTAATGATAGGATCATCTGTTCTGACCGAGTCACATTGCGAGTATAAAGGAGCACAACAAAGGTGCCACAAAGCGACCGCTTATGAGCAGTTGCTTCCCTTAACAGAGCCAATAAACGATAGGGTCAGGCTTGTTTTCTCACTGGAACAACAAAAGAACTTAGAAGTGATTTTTGTTTATCGCCTCTTCAGTTCACGAGTTTCGTACAAAGTCTCATCATAGCCTTTATAATTTGTCTTTTAAAAAAATTGACAGAGAACTGGATGCACTGCTGTATTCACAACAAAATCTACACCCCCAACCCCTTCTCCAATTTTCAAAGTTGGTGCCAAGCAAGATTCGTTTCTTCTCTTTGCTGTTTAACTGAACATATCCCAGACTAATGTAGAGAAATAAACTGACGTAGTGGGAGAGAAATTTGAAGTAGTGTTGCAACAAAGCACAAGCCGTATAAAAAGGCCAACATTCTCAAACGCAAAACTGTGACATATGACATTGAAGAACAAGGTGCATTGCTAGACCATGTGTATGGCAAGGTGTGGTTCCACAGACCTGTGCACAATTCATTACGTTGACGGAAGGCTGGTCTCACTGTTCAGTTGCTGGCGAAAAATACGACTGTGATGCATCTACATCCCTGCTGACATTTGCGCCACCCCCCCCCCCCCCTCCCCTAAGAGACGCATATGTGTGCGCGCCGCACACACACATACTAGTCACCTGCCCAACCTCTTGTGACCCCGGCGCATGTGGACCAAAAGTAAAACACAAAATCTTCTTACTGTGTCAATAACAGACATGTTGATGTGGAAGGTGGCCTCCGATTGGTTCACATACACCGGCTGAGCATCTCTAACAAGTCAATCGTAATTAACAGTGGGAGATATAAAATAAGTATGCAATGATCCATGATGCAGAGCGATAGATGGTCCTATAGCATACGCAACAAAGGAAAGTTTCATTGGGGTGGGGGGGAGGGGATTGCTCGAAGCCCCACCATCGTGGGCTGATCACCCTGCAAGTGACTTCATTGAATACAAATTTGCTCATTCACATGTTCGTATGCAAGGAATTTTAATTATGTTTATTAATAAAAGAAACCGGGAATTTTTCTCCTTTCGCAGAATCCGAGTTTCACTGTATACATAAGATACATTCACCAAGACATACACACAAAAATAGTTTTTTTTTTATAAGGCTAACTTCTAGTCTACACTCATCTCTGGGGCCCTACTAAGGCAACAACAAGCCAGGCTGCAAGAACTGCTCAGAGACAGAGAGACCTCTAACCTGGTGTTCAAACAAAACAGTTGGGGAGTTAACCAGCACATTGTGTGACCATGGCAGGTCAGAAATGAGGAGCAGACTTACGCTGCTGGGGCAGTCCAGTCATGAGCCCAGTGGGCACAGACGCCGGCATGGCTGCTAACGCCTGCTGGAAACTGACATATGATTGTTGCACCTACATGGAAATAACCAAGCAAACATGGCATGATTAGCAAAGGACAGCCAGTCACGCTGGCCACAAATTTACGAAAATGCAAACCACATGGAAAAGAAATGGATAGTGGGGGGGCCGACAGAGAGAAAAGCTCACATTTTAGAATCAATAGAATAAGAGAGAGAAGACATTTCCTGCTGGCTAGCAATTGCACAGTTGTAATCAAACAAGATGTGCAAGCAATTTAAATTTGAAAAAATCCAACAAAATCAAACATTTTTATTTGAAAAATGACAACAGTAATTTTATGGTAGAAAAATCTGCAGTTTTCCACTCAAGAGAATTCCTGAGGGTATAATTTGGATAGCAACTTCTAACCAGCAGAAGCAATTTCCACAGCTCAATATTTCATGAACCCATTTCCATCCTCCACAAGAAACTCCTACAATGCCAAGAAAGACTAGAAAAACAGACGTGAAGATTGCAAAGAGAACAGTATTACTGGTATTTCTCGCTACTTCTTAATATTTCAAGACATTTTTCTTCAACCCCAAACTATTGTGCCGAGACTATAGGGATGAAACTAGCACAAGTGGAGTGCTTCATTACAGTAAAATGATTTATCAAGTCCGGTACAATATCCTGGGGTGTGGCGAAAAAATGCTTGAAACAATATTTAGTAAGATATTTCAGTAAAAAGTAACATCACATCTAAAATTAAAAGCACCCTGGTGTGAAAAATCCCCATGAACCCACAACTTCCCCCCAGGAGGACTCTGTTGAGGATGATGGCACTTGCATGGAAAAATAATTAATATCATGGTCAATCAATGAAATGGAATCATTGAGCTATTTTTATTAGTAGCCAGAAAAGAAGAATAACTTTCAAATCTGACCCCGACAATAAAAAAAAAAAATTCATGCTTCCTCCTCCACCCTTTCATCAGTACATGATAAGAAAACTAATTAACTGTTGCTTACACGAAGTAATGCCTTGTACACTTTAAAAAAAAAAAAAAGTTTTAACAAGTACAGCCGAAATTGTCCATGACGGCCATCAACTGTAAAAGAGAAATGTAGTTGTCTAAGACAGGTGAACGTCTTGGACAGTGTCCTTATTATGTAAAAAAAAATGTGTATGAGGGGTAGGGGGTGGAGAGGAAAGTGGGGAGAGGACGTTTGATTACATGATCGTCTTAGACAGGTGGCCGCCAGAGCAGATTCGACTGTACATATTTTCATGGTGACCACAGTAAACATCCTACCTTGTTTCCATAGTACTCAGAGGTTGGCACCATGACATCCAAAGTACTAAAAGCTAATGTAAACACTAACCAAAGACAGGACAAAAGAAGTGCTAAAGCGCAATGTCCCTAGAAATAGTACAATAAACATGATGTGATCAGCTGTGGAAATTGCTGCGAGCACCTAAACAGAACAGAAGGACATCATTTCAAAACAAAGGGAATGGGGGGGCCAAACAAGTTTCCCAACAAAGCCAAAATATAAGGAATCTGTAACAGACTATGGTAAGCAGTGAGGAATCAGCAGGGGTTGGTGGAAGTTGGGGGTGGGGGCTGAGGATATTGTTCTTAATGGGATGGGTGGGGGCAGAGATTGGGAGGGGACTGAAAGGGGAAATTGGAAAATAATGAATTAGGGACTGTGCCCACAGTTTGTCCTCTTCCACACCAGTTCGGAACTTCATCTTAAACATAAGGAGCATTTTCAGAGAGCCCACAAATCCACAAGAAAGGCCCTGCAAAGAAAGCATTCGTTAGTATGCAATTTCCCCCTTCCCAATCTTTAGCCCAACCTCTTGACCCTGAGAGTCTGATCAAAACCGATATTAAAAGCCAAATAACTATAGTTGAATTTAACATCCTCAATTCTTACAAGGCAATGACTGCTAAGGAAAATATTTAACAAAACCAGCACATCTATATAATAGAACATATTTTATACTCGGACCAGAGCAGATATGAAATGTAGTATGTGTAGAATCAGCCAATAAAAACATATTTCTGTCACAATGCAAGGAACATCTCTTGAGTACCTTCACTGCAGTAAAGAAAAATGCCAGCCATTAATCTCTGTTGAAACACCTGAATCACAACACAAGTGCTTCACTGAACTAATCCTATCACTCAGCTAAAACACAAGATACTTAAAAAATTAACAAAGTTTACACTAACCGTTTGTATCAAATTTTCTGCCAACTTCTTCGCCTCCTGAAGACCCACCAAGGATGGATGTCTGAGGAGGAGAGAGTCAAAGTATATAGTCTGAACTTGATTTATATATATAAATTATTGGATAACATTCTTTTAGTTTTAATTATCAAATTCAGAGACCACTTCTTCAGAATTGTATTATCTGATCAACCTTAGCAAATAAATCAAGCCACAAGAAAAAAGACTATAAAATGGAATATACGAACAGCACTTCCTTCTTCGTATATTCCATTTTATAGTCTTTTTCTTGTGGCTTGATTTATCTAGCACAGGATAGAGAAAAGTGGAAGGTGTTTGTCCGTGGCCTATACCCTGGTGCAGGGTGAGAAAGGCAATGATGATGTTGACTTCCTTCTTCAAAAATTCCACTACCGACACTTTCTGTCCATTTCTGACTGCTTGACTATTTCAGTGGTATTCATCAAAATAGTTGACAGGAGATGGAGATTTCCTTTTGTTGAATGTGTACTCCCAAACCCTGGACAAACACTCAAACCGCCAATGAACTTAAGGTTACTAACAGGGTGGTTGAACACACAAATCTCACCAGTGATATCAAGTCATTTTCCGTTAATCCTACATTTACGAACAAAAATTTACTACTGCAAAAGCTAGCGATATAAAAAAAAACTTTGTTCATACTCAATGTGCACATGCATGGGCTCGATGGTATCTGCACCACCAAGGTCACCAAAACCAGAACCTTTTCCTCTGAGGCTGACATGAGCACCTGTCTCTGTCTGGATATGTTGCAGGAAGGAGCCCTGATAGGAAATACACAAAGACAAATATGTAGTTAGACATAATTCAGCTGGAACCTCTGTCACTTTAATAACCGTTAATATGCTGACATAAGAAGTAAAGAGTAAAGTAATCATCAAACACTTAATATGCCTGCAGATAATCAGGAGCAAAATTTAGTCACAGCAATAAACAGAACTTCAAGGAAATAAAATGTGGCCAATACTACCAATTATCACCAAATAACATGGTCTCAAATGAGGCATCAGTAACTGCTGATGAAAAAATGCCCAAAATATTTCAGTCAGACATAAACTGCTTTCTCTAAAATATGCAGAAGGACAAAGGGTACTCCACAATGGCTTGCTCTTTTCATGTTATAGTGCTGTTTCATCCGTTTTTTCACAAACTGCACCCGTTACTGCATCCAGTTAACGGAGATATTCTTTATAAATCATCACAAATCAAACAGCATCTAACACAAGAACAACTCTACACAGACAATCTGGGATTAATCTTACTCCAGGGCCCAAAAGTTTATTCTTGGTGTCAAAATTTGGGGGTGCATGTTCCAGTCCAATGTACAATTTCTCTTGTAAGACTGTCACCTGGGAGGAAAAAAGAAAACAGAAAATTTATACATTAAAGTGTCAGCAAATTCCTTTCAAGACCTGAAAATCATTATGTTCATAAATGCTGACAAAATGTAAGAAGTAAGTTGGAATTAACATTCCACGAGAGACTTAATGATCGAGTTCCAAATACCAAAAAAATCCTTCCTTTCGGGTATATATACACAAGACAAAGCATTAAACTTTTGCAGTTCTAAAAATTACCAGTTACAAAATTATACACACACACATAAGGGACATCTTACTCTCATCTGAATGTGCCAGCTGAGCAACAGCCATTTAAATGGTCTTTCCCCTTACCTGGGCAGGAAAGGGCACATTTTTTCAAAAATATATATCCTGGACTTCTGATTTTCACAGTAGTTGAACACGTACATCTGACTTTGAACTACAACTAACTCGAGACTGAACTCACCAACCCATTCTAGAAAAGGTAAAGATCCTGATATCACCAAAAGTTCTTACAAAACCCAGCACTAAACTTACAGTGTGAGGAGCTGGTTGTGGAGGGGGTGGCATCTGAGTGTGCAATGGTGGAGGGGTAGGCAGAGACATGAGAGGCGGGGGCGGCTGATTGTGTGGGATCCGAACTGGAAACCTGTGGTTCATGCGAAGAGGGGGGCGCATTCTGCCTCCACTACCAAATTGCCCTACATGACCCCGGTTGTCATTTTTGTTCCCGCACATGCTCTTGATGATCTCATTTATCTTGTCCACCGCAACTGAATGAAGAAAGATACATCATATAATTGCCGTCACATTGCCGCTTCATATTTCCAACAAATAAAACCAAGCAAACCATGTGCTCTTTTGGGCCAATAAAATATAAACACTGTCATTGCAGTACCTTGTAGCCACAGTAATCAAAGAAAGTTGACCCAAAAAAACCCCTTGAAAATTGCCATGGAAGACCAAGTGCACGGCTTGCCAATTTTAAAAAATCTCAGGGACATCCAACATTATAACTACAGATTAACTAACAATGAACAAAATTACATAAAACATATTGTAATAGTGTATGTGATAAGATTCTCAAATTCCTGACTGCCGAACCCAGGACAGTCGAGGGGTATTCAGGAAGGCAAGCCAGCAGGTGTACACTATACCGAGAGCATAAAGTGCAGTCGAACCTACTTTAGTGGTCACCTCTTCACAATGATCGCTTTAAGCCTCTGTTCTGTGACACCCTTGTGTTTTTCCAATGTCTTAAGCTTGCTCATAGCGGTCCCTGTCCAACATAGTCACGGTCAATCACTTTCACAGCAAGTTGGCCTCAAATCCTGCTCATAGCAGTCACTTGCTACAAAACTTGTCCATTAAACTTGTCCTCAGGCTGTGTGTACTTTTAATCAATGCAAAGTAGCAACTGGGCTTTTCGCCTGGCTAGGCATTACATAATAAATTAAAGGGGGAAGGAACTTAGTACAGCTCTTGCACTGTGAGGTTCAAGTGTCCAATGACATGAGCTCACTTCCATTGCTCAAACCTTACGCGACAGCCTATAACGGTCACTTTTCTCAGTGATCTTAAGAGACCATTATGGACTGATTCCACTACACCAAGGCATTAGTTCAATTAAGTATGAGGGTTAACTGCACTTAATTTAATAAGGTAAGGATACCTCAATAAATCAATTTTTTTCACATGGTTGAACTAGGTACTTTTTTAGTACAGCGTACACAATAACAGCTAATTAGTGCACAGTAGAAGCAAGATAAGCAACAGAGGAAAGAAAGGATAAAGGATATATATGAGGCATCCTGAAACAACTGTATTTTGAACAAAAAAGTGAATTAAATAATAAACTTACATTTTTAAAGCCTTCAAATTCATCTCTATAAGACACCCTAAAAAAATTTAAAATTCAACCAAATATTTTCTTCCACACTAAATACAAGAAATAGGGCATTGGTGCACAATTCATTCAGCAGATAAAATGAAAACAACTTTTTTAAAAGATATTACGCAGTCAAGGACTAACAACCATCAAAGCCTTAAGAAATCAATACTCACTATCAACAGATTCTTTAGAAGCAGCTTGAACATTCAAATACAAACATCGGTCTCTGCAAAAAAACAACAATGAAAATAAATAGGAACAGTTTCTTGACAAACGCCATTTTTGAAGTTTGGCCAAAACTAGTAACAACGCATCTGGAAAGGAGGGGGGGAAAAAAAGAAAGAAGAAAAAATGAATACATCTTTGGAAGTGAACATTTAAAATGTCCTCAGAAGCAAGCTTCAGTTCTTAAGGTCTGATATCTACAACATTAAATAACTTATGCCAAACCCTGGTCTACAATATTTATGGATGTTGACTGATATCTCTGATATAATAAATATCAGTAACACAAAGAGTCTCATTGAACAATTCTATGAGCTGTTACAGTTGCTTCATTTTTACACTTCAAGAGATATAAACGAAAGCAAAAACATGGAAAAATTATCATCAAAATTATGACATACCTGGGATTTCGAGCCTTTTCATCAGGAACCATGTAGCGCCCTCTTGTTGTAACAGCTGCTCCACTGGCCTTAGATATCTGCAGTTGTGTACATATTTGTTTGTTTGTAAAAGTAATGGGAAGCGCAATGACACAATATTGGTCATTTAGTGCAAAGGAAAAAAGTAAAACAGATAGAAGCATCAGAGGGGGAAAAAAGAAATAGGACCTACTTTGATACAAAGTCAAAACACATTCTACTTTAACTGGACCAGAGCCCCTGCCAGTGAATATGACAAGCAGGGTTCACCCTGAAATGCCTGCACTGACAAAGCTTAATCTTTCAGAATGGCTCATAGAACTTTAGCAATGGTAGTGACTCGAGTGAGGGAATTCCTTTTCCGAATATCATAGAAAAATCTACACATAGTTCAAGGTACGACATAGCACAGAAAAATCACAAAGCAGGAGCAATGTTGAAAAGACTTTACAACAAATTACAGCATGGCACCCATCATCCATCTTTATGAAAGTGTAACTGCCATTATCATGAATCATATCTACAATTACAACACAATGGAAGCTGATTTGCAGACAGAAATTTTCAGTTAAAAGGCGAGTTCTTAACTTGAATCCTTAAACTTAGGAAGTTATTGTAAGAGTTTAGTCACATTTCACCAATTAAAGATAAAGACAATAAAGAAGTATATAATAAATAAAATAAAAAAAGGAGCAGACCACATTAGAGCATCCAACAACACAACCACCCCCTCCCCTCCAAATCCCCCCTTAACAGGCAATTAAAAACAAAACAAGATCTTAAAAAGTATAAATTTACAAATGTGTTGGGAACAATAAACAAAACAGCAACATTATCTGCTCAATAATTCAAGGGAAGGGGGGAAAACCCAACATACATCAACTCCTTAGTGCAAGACTCCACCATACGCTATTTTGAAAAGTAACATAGGACGTCTCACACTGTACAGTCAATATGAATTACATTGTACAAAAATTTAAAAAGAACAAGTACCTCTTCTTGGGTTGTGCCACGAGTCAAAGTGTTCCTGCATGGGGTGGTTAAATTATTGATTTCCACTTCTGCAACCACAAGACTGTTTGGACCACCTCCCTATAGACAAAATTATTATTTTAAAAATTAAACAACAGTTAACACCTTCTGTGTAGATGAAATTATTCATATCTGAAAACAGTTATGTATATCTATTAAAAAGCATGACATGAAAAGCAAAACATAATTCTTACTGGTGGACCTTACAGCAATTTATTCCACATTCCTAAGTAACGCAAATGGAAACAAAATACCCCATAATCTACAATTCTATTTAGCTTCCTCATTGTTGTTTACTTTTATCGATATTTCATAATGACACCAAAAAGCATGTGTTCCTTTTAAGTGATCAATAGTTACGAAATCAGCCTGTCTGAAAAAGCAAACTAAATAGGCAGAGACATACAATGATGACAATATTTGATTTATTTACACAATACGCAATTCTGAAGCATACGACTTCAACCTTTCTAAGGAAATGGCCAAGAAATACATGATTCGTCCATGAACGGCATAGGCCCTACAATTGAGCCTGTCTAACATGGTCACTCAAGGTGACAGAGAAAAGTGATTGTTTTGCACAGGTGGCCGCTATGATGGACAAGGCCCAAATTAAAGCTAAAGTCACCTAGGAAACTCAGTTTAATTGTGTTTTGTGTGAATTTTACACATGTACTGTTGATTTGTGAGACTTGACAGTTACAAGATGGTTTTAAATATGAAATTTTGAAACTGCCATTCCATTCCATTTCAATCAAAATAGTTCCCTATTATAAGATTATAAAAAAGAAATGCTGTCAACAGACTTAAACTCCAAACACACACAGTAAAAGCAGTCTTTCACAAAAAAATAAAACGAAAAAAATTATACAGTAGTCTCCGCCTAAGATCCCACCGCTTACGATCCCGGTTCACTTAAGATCCCGCTGTTTTAAGAAAACAGAATTTTTACAATACAAAAGTCACCCCTAAGCTCCCCCTCTGATTCACTCTGAAGGTCTACATTCGGCTAAGATCTCGCATTTCAAATCATAATTTGCGGAACAAAAGCCCAGGCGGGACAGCCGATCAAGCAAAAGTGAAAAGTTGAAATCAACAAACTGTCCGTCCCGTCAAAGATCAGCCACTATCGTGAATGTGATCACATACACGTTGTAAAACTCGATGAAGCGATACAATGTTTGCCCCAGACGGGATCAAACCGGGATGTGAACTGACCGACACGTTTGTTTTCCCCGAACATCGCACTCACACCTGAGCTCTCCCCCTAAACTTACATCACTCGCTGGGTGGGTAGGGCCTACATGTTTGCTCCAGGCGGGAGCACATTGAACTGTGAACTCTTCCCTGACCATTGCAGAAGTTGTCTCTACTCCTGACTTTGCGTGACAGACTGAATTAATTGGTGTGTTCACAACGTAATGGTGTGTAACAACAAAGGCGGTTGGGGGCAGGGGCAAATAACTTTAAATAAGCGTAGATCTTGAGACTCATGATAGGATAATAAGTGAAAATGGTACGCCTCATGCCACTATTCACTGTGATAGGTCATCAAGGTTAACCACTCTTTGGTCGCCATACATCATAAACCCACCAAGCGGTCAGGTCAGTACATTTTAGAATGGAGGGAGACCATTTTACTGATTGTGAGCCTTAGCATGGGTCACCATAGATTCTTCCCTGGGTTCGGTGGTTAAGATCCCGGTTCGCCTAAGATCCTGCATTTCCTTGCTCCCGAGCACCGGGATCTTAGGCGGAGACTACTGTATAATTTTTGTTTTAACCCTGAACGGAGCAATGCCGATGATCACTGTAAGACAGACACACTGCCCATCATATGACTACACGACATTTACCATGGTCAGTGGCAGCGTATTCAGTTCAATGGACACTCCCACATCATGCTGCAGTAAGTCCCACACCCACTTATTTAGTAGGTAAAGCCTTGCCTGGCAAACAGAAGCCCAGCCATTTCTTTGCACTGATTGAGTATACACAAGAAGAAGCTTTTGTAGAAAGTGACCGCTATGAGCAGGTTTTGAAGCTGACTTGCACCGAAAATGACTGTCAGTGGCCACATTAGCTTAGCCAGGGACCATTACGGCCAGCTTAAAAAAGATGGAAAAACATAAAGAGTGTCACGAAACAGTGCAAACCCCCCAAAAAGTGTAAAACAATAAACATTAAACCATGGCATGGCCATCCGAACTTTTTTTTTTAACTCTCACAGAAAAAAGAAGAAATCCAAGGCTGACAGATAAAAGAAAATGAAAGAGCTCTCAATCAATGCATCAACATTCCATGATTCCAATTCATTTCTAACATGATAATATAAACTATACCTTTTTAGTAATAACATTAGTCCCAGAATGAATTTGATTGGGTCGGAGCATTCCCTTTGCAATGAGCATGGCATTCACTTTAGCAGCTGCTTCAGCTGCAGCTTCCAGACTGCTTTTGTCCTCCATGTCACTGTTTCTTGTGTGGAAGCGGTCATACATGTCACTGAAAGATAAAAAGGGTAATTTCATTTTATAATATAAAAATATAAGTGACTGATAAAGTGCAGTGTACTACAATATTAATAAGACGTAAATGACGACAAAAGCGTACGCCTACAAGAAGTCAGGCAACTTTGATTTGAGGTCACCTAAACGAAAGATAAACTTTTAATATTAAATCAATTAACAAAACTTAAGTCAGTTTAATAAATGCAAATTTAATTTACCATGTTCTGAATATTAGTGAATGTCTCTTAAGGAAAGTGAAAATCAAAGTTGGATTTTTACCATCATAAACCATAAGGTTCATTCATTAGGCCTTTGCATCATCACCGAACGAATGACCTTAAATATTTTTAGACAATACTGTAAGGCCGCGGTTATTCGGACTCGAGTCTGAATAGCCTCCCGTGGATATTCAGACTCAAAACCCCAATGCGCGTGTGCAATCAAAGGGTGTGAAGTGGACAGGTAATTCGACCTCGGCCTTCCTCGGTTTCTACAATCTGGCCAAAATTTTCAAACAAATCAAGAAAAGTATACAGTGACGACAAAAGTGAACAGTTGCAAAATTTGAAATACTACACAACAAAGGCAAACAGGGAAACGGCAATCTGAGCTCAAAGCAGTGGAAAAAAATTGAAAATCAAAGTTTCAGAACAACAAAGGATTATATCTCAAGACTCTTGGATAACAATAACAAGACAGTGCAATTCGGTAAGCACTAGATCTAGATCTATTTCTTGTCCGCAGTGTCATCATACAATACCTAAAAAATTATCTCTATCTCTGCGTGCACTTTATAAATACGAAGTGACTATTTCTCCGAACGTTCTGAGAAATAGTGCCGATCTTTATTTCTCCGAACGGTTTCCGGCTTCCGCTCTGGTCGTGATTGTTTGCCTATTTGCGAGAGTTCGGCGCCAACTTTCATTCCGTCATTCTGCGAGGTCTGGGAAGGAACAAATCAAAGGTGGTATCTGTTCTCAGCTTCTCCTCCGGCCGTGTGCCCACTGGTTTAGTGAGGCGGGTACTGCCTGAGGCACCCGAGAGACGGAGAAATCTGACCCTCTTTTCTATTGAGTGGACGGTTATCGTCCATTAAAAAAAAAAACGGAGCAAATTTTTGGGTTTAGATCTATTTCAATTTTCAAGAGCTAGATCTAGTCTAGAGATTTTTAGATGAGTGTAAAAACGTGAAAAAGAAAGGTTTCACAACAGAATGAAATCAAAACTAGAACAGCCCAGAAACAACCACAACAATTAACAAATAAGGGCGTGTGTCCACCTGTCCGAAGAAGATTGACCGTTTTAACCCTAAATGTGCGTAATTTGTTTAAAAAAGTACAGGATATTGCATGGAAATTATGGAACCACACACAGGGGGCCTGCCAGTGTCAGTACATGTAATTGGTTTTGGTGGAACGCTCTAACATAGCACATTTAAATTTATACAGGTATATATATATATTTAGAATCTAATGAAGGTAGGAACATCAAATTAAATGACGTTACACAATACCTTAAACCTTTTGTAGGAACATCAAATCAAATGACGTTACACTATACAACCCCCCCCCCCCCCCCCTTTTCCCCAACAAAAAAAAATTAATAGAAAAACAACACATCAGAACAATAACAAGAAAAAAAAATACACACCAACAAAATATAACACCACAAAGAGGGAAAAATGAACGAAAAATAAAAGAGGAACAGCAATACAAATCGTATGTAACTGTAACGTATTCAACAAATCAACGTGGTGACAACAAGTGAGAAAGAGACGAAGTGAAGCTAAGTGAACTTTCTTTCAAAAGTAAAGAGTTTCATTTTCTTTTCTTTTTTTTTGACTTTTTCGGGGACCAAAAAATCGAGCCACGATTGATTGGTCGCGGCCTCGACAAACGCAGATGCTAGCTCTATGTGTCGTTATCAATACCCTCCATAGATCTAGATCTAGACAGCTCACGAGTGAACGCAACACATTAAGTTTAAGAGCAGCACCCTTCATAGGCCACACGTCATATCTGTAGCGAAAAACTGTTTGGAACTGTAGCATTTCTTTATATAAATACGGACATTTTTTGGACCGATTGAACCATATTGTATACGAACAATCTTTGGTAGGCCTATAATATAATTATAGATCTATATTTTATTTTTATTATCCGAAATATGCGGGAAAGGGTGTGATTTCAGAGTGTTCGGAGAAATAGTGCCCAGCTTTATTTTCCCGAACGTTCGGAGAAATAGTGCCGGCCTTATAAATATTTCGCCATCACACATGACGTCACCTGATCTAGTCTAGGCTTCGGCGTTTTAATTTGCAGGCAGTAGTGTCTATAATGTTCTTTAACGTTAAGTCTAGAGAACGTGTATACAAGCTGTAAATATTCTCAAATGTTCACTGCTTCCAAGCGAGGCATCGAATCCCTGTCCTGGAAGGGTTTTTTTTCTTCTGAGCCTAAAATTTAAAAAAAATAATGAGACTCACAGACCACCAAGTAAAGCCACTATTGAACTTTAACCAGGCCTAAATTGGTAAAAGGAAAAGTATAGGCCTACTTTGTAGGTAAAAACTCCGCTTGGGGACAAAACAAGAAGGTACATGATGCTTTTTATCGCTAGGCCTATAATAAAAAAAACCTACAAACCACAAAGCAACAATTTATAATTATGGGAAAAAATTGTTGGTCAGTCGGGAAGAGGAGAAGAAGAGAAAAAAAACAATAACAAAAAAACTTCCAGGACCGGGATTCGTTCCCACGCTCATAAGACAGTGGTTTGACTTCAAACGCAGACGCACTGTCTATTCAGCCACCAGAACTTCTGACAACAATTTAAGGTAGATTAAGCTTGATATTTAAAACACTGCATTTTATTTAGCACTGGCGCTAATCGCAACACTGCGCTTTTATTTAGCACTGCCGCTAAGCAACGCGGCGTTGCAAATAGGCACTTCCATAAATATCGGCCGATGGCGTACTCCTGTAACGTTCTGTAACTATCCTTCTATCCGCTTGTCATGGCCGCGACATCAGTCTTTTTTTTCTCTAGTAGAGATTTCTTTTTACGCCGCTCGCAACTGCATTTCTGCACACTTTTTGATCTCCCTAGCCCTTACGATTCCGTCTCCAGTCTTACACTTAGAGTAGAGTCGGGTAACTTCGCCACCCTCAGTTGGCTCGCGACGAAACAAGCCTACACCTCCTGTAGGCTCAATGTAAATTATATCCCAGTTTCGTCTGGATCTTTTCGTAGCCAATGAACATGCAGATAGCCCACTGATTGGTTTGCTTGCTAGTCGTACTTCATCTGCTTCGTTCTTTTTCCAAGTGGATCATATGGTGACGGGGAACTTCGCCACCATATCGGGGAAATTCGCCACACTGGGAGATCATCTTTTTCTTTATATACTTTATATTAGATTATAATTTTAAACATGTAAAAACTGATCTTTCGTTAAAGGGAAACCTGCATTTGCAGCTGCAATCACTTTGTCAACAATTTTATTTCTTTCTCTCCCAGCCCTCATTCCAAAAGTAGATCGACTAGAGACATGGTCGGCAAGAGAGGTTTTTTGGGAACGCTAGATCTAGATCTAAGTCAAGTTCTCAGGCTGCCCCAGAGTCCAAAGCAGCTTTGCCCACCTTAAACTGCTTCAACGGCTTTCTCCAAATCACTTTATAAAGTTTAAGTATACTTGTTATTGATTATCTTGCTTGTTTTCCCCATAATAAGTGGTAAATCTAAGTAAAACAACAAATGGAAAATCAATAGACCTGCGTGGCGAAGTTCCCCGATAATCGAAGCGAATTTCCCCGACAGGGTGTAGATCTGTACAAACACACTTTTTAAACAGTAAAATGGCATACAATGCATACAAACGACAATAAAATGCAGAAAATATAATATTTATTTTAAACAATAATTGAATAAAGTAGCATCAACACAATTTCAGAGTAAAAAGTTGAGAACAGCAACGGCAGTACAGTAAGCAGTAGACACAGAAAGATAAAAATAGTGCAGGCGCAGCAGAGATAGGGCAGAGGAAAGGGAAGCTTAGCGGGAAGACGCATGCCTAAAATCCTAAAACATTGCGCGTTTGTTCTTCATCATAACAATAGATTTTTCTGATTGGTTGGTCAATTGACAATGAATATGTTTCTGGTCCCAAGTAACTTTTAACACAAGTTACTATTTAAACTCTTCCTTGGTGGATATATCGGATTATTCCTATTTTATATGAAAGTGGCTATTCTCACCCGCCCGGAAGTTCTCGCAAGATCAACTCCTCCCCTCTTCTCTCTCTCTCTGTCTCTATCTGAATACTGTCTATCGCCCATCGGTGTGGACGATCAAATTGACCAAAACAAAGTTTAAAAATGATGTTAAAACCCAAAAGTAAATTAATTTGGTTGTCTACAAAGATGCTACGGCTATTTAACTTTTCGAATCGAGCCGAACTACGCGGGTCGCCATTTTGTTTTGACCGGAAGTTCTCGCGCTACTCCTCTCTCTGTCTCTTTCTCTCTCTCTCCACTGCCCACATACAAAATTACATTATGTACGCTTTTAGTTTTAGTAGGTGTGAGTTGTAATGGAACGCTTGTTCACGGCACAGAATTCTACAATTTTTCTGTTATCACAGTGTAGAATTCTGTGGTTTAGGGAGAACGCAAAATTTGTTGGCCTAGATCTAGGCTATAACGGTGAACACGCACCGGGTGAGAATAGCCAAAAGACTAGCCTGCACTATTCTCATCGCGGGTGAGAATAGAGGTGGCCTTTTAATATATCGGTAGGGGGGGACAGGTGGCGAATTTCCCGTTCAGGTGAAGTTACCTGAATCGGCAATTTTGTAGTTTCGTTCATTAAAGACAAGAGTAGGGGGGTTTCAGGGTGGAGGTGGGGGGGGGGGGGGTTCAGGAGGGGGGCATGCCCCCCTGAATTTTATCCTAATTTGATGTTTTGCAGTTAGGTTGCATCCCTGCTCTTTGTGTAGCCTAGAGATCTAATTCAAATAATATTTTTGGTCTTCAAGACTTCTGGATTTCTTCTCTGGATGTAAACAAATGGATCGTGGACTTTAACGAACGGAACTAGATATATCTAGATCTAGAAGATCACCCCCGACCCGAATCTACTCTACATCTACACTACACTACACACTGTACAGACTACAGAGTACAGGCAAAACTACAGACTACAGATTAGATTCTACTGGATCGGCTAGATTCTAGTTAACACACTATCAATGCCAAACCAGATAAAAAAACATACGTTGTCCCAATAGCACTATGCTAATGACACATGATAGCAGCAAGATGGTGATCTTACTCATTTCATAAATCCACTAAGAAGGTGAAGTACTGTGTAATGAAGAAGACGCCATTTTCTTTCTCTGGCCTTTCATTCTTCAATCACGTTTTTCGTCTTCCGTCCTTTTCGACAAACTTCCGGTGGCAAAATGAATACCAGGTAAGCAAGCTGACAGTTGGTGGTTGGTTTGGGGGGGGGGGGGTGACCACTTGAAGGGTAAACGGGATAATTGGTAGACAGGCCTAAGACAAATTCCCCCAACATGGAAAAGGGTCTGTGCATATATTTGCGTGATAATAAAACAACAAGATTCCCGATCCTTCTCAAAGCTCCATGCTGAATCGACTGCATAGAAAACATTTTGTACAGCTATGTTTACTGTTAGTCCACTACACAAAACGAGTCCTTTTGTACTCTTTTTGGCTGTATAAGTACAATGCTATTCTTCTGTAAGCTTGATCTTTTAACAATTGTTTAAATAAATGTGTTTATAATTTAGGCCTACGAAACAGGATTCTATTTCAAAAGCGAAACAGCTTTTGTTGTTCTGTTTAAATACAATGCCAATTTGGCACTCCAGTTTTAGAGTACATGGAAAATAAAGCCACAGTGCGAGGGCCTAACAATAATAATTATAGTTTATAGTCTATATTATTATTACAGATGTATAATATTATAATGTATACTATATTTATGTTTTAGGTGTATGCTGTAAATCCCCTATTATTCTTTTACCTGCTTGAGGCAGACGTGTGGGAACCTAAGTTGGCAGTGACCTTTATGAATGGGCTTTTAGATTTAATTGGTCATCCAACATAATATTAGACCCGTAAACAAAGATTTGAGAAGATTAAAGAGCGATATAATTTTATCTTGTTTTTGCCGCAGTCAGAAGAAAGTGAACAAGGTAAGCTATAGTAAAGAATCTTTGGTTATACATGGGACTATTAATATAACCTCTTTGATTATGAATTAAATAGCAGGCCGCGGGACAAACTCGGCCCTCGTCATAATCACACAAAATGTACCTTGTACAATGAAATTACATAACATGCCTACTTATTATTATATTTCTTCTTTTTCGAATATCAGGTCTGAAGCAGATATTGACAAGCAACCGCACACCTTCATGTCGTCTGTCTTCTTGATCAGTACTGTTTGTCGCATTGTGATTCGTTGGTCGCTGAGGCCATCGATATATGTATACATATATATAATAACAATATATATGTATATATATATATATATATATATATATATATATATATATATATATATATATATATATATATACATATATATTGTTCTTTATTTTCCTCTGCTCTTTTTCCCCTGTCTTTCCACACAGCAGCAGTTTATCTATTCCTTTGATATATTTATATTATAAATTATAATGGGGCCAGAGAATCTCAGTTGAGTCTGTTGATTCTGATTTTAGATATATTTATTTTTCACAACTTGTCATTTGAAGCATTGAATTCTCGGTTGTCTTTTTCCTCGTCAATGAGATTCTAGTGTATACTTATAAATATAAAATATAAAATTTCAGCGTTTTCCAGCCTTCTCTCTGTGTCCAGATCTTGCATCCATACAAAAGGATTGAGCACAAGTACGTAAGCTTCTAGGGTGGGCGTTCGAGCCTCAGCTCGACCTGACGTTGTACTCCTGAAAAATGAGCCTCAGCTCGACCTGACGTTGTACCCCTGAAAAATAGACGTTAAACTCGGAGGTACTGCCTTTTAAATAACCCATTAGGGTTTAGGGGGGCGTCAGACCTATACCATTAATTTTTTCACCCTTCGAGGTTCTTATTCTACTGTCCGCTGTTTCTATTTGAGAGTACAAATCGATTTCGCATTTTGTTGAAAGTTCCGTGAGATATTGTACCCCCCCCCCCCCTCTCTCTCTCTCTCTCTCTCTCTCTCTCTCTCTCTCTCTCTCTCTCTCTCTCTCTCTCTCTCTCTCTCTCTCTCTCTCTCTCTCTCTCTCTCTCTCTCTCTCAAGATCACTTCTTGCATCTGTATTAACAGTTGGGCCCACTTAAAACAGTCTCGGTAATAACAAGATTCTAGCTTTAGCAGGCTTGGGCGTCTATAGCTGGCATTCAGTATACGTGGCTATAAATATAATAAATAAGAGGGTCCTAACATCGAGAAAATCTTAAAACAAAAGGACGAAACAGTTGAAAAAGCAAATGAAGCACAAAAATCATCCGTGGAGAATTGTACCTACATGACCCACAGAGGCCTAAGTTGATTGTGTCAATATTACGAATTTATAGACATTTTTCCAATTTTTTTTTTTTTTTTGATGGGGGTGGGGGGGGGGGGGGGAGCTCGACGCACTTTGATGTTAATCCATCCAGATTTTCTAATCAGTGACTGCGATTCCTCGGTCTAGCACCACATCGTCATAATATTATTGTCTCCTCGTGGGTGGCAAGGCTTGTAACGGGTAAATCTGATTAGAATGTTTAAAAATAAATAATAATAACAATTTTTTTTAAAGGGAAGAAAAGGGGGGGAAAATATTATATATATATACGCTCAGCTTGTCAATAGTTTATCTTTCTTTTCCATCGATATCATTTTGCTTCCCAACCTCATCTTTCTTTTTCTTTGGCTAAGTTCACACTGAGCCTGGCTAGTTGTTAGCAGCAGCCGTCAGCAGCCCGCTGTAATCTGTCGTCACGCCTTTATCCTCCTTCTTGCCATGAAAATTGATGACACATGTTCAGACTGCCGCCAGCACACGATTCGCAGTAAATTCCCCGCAAAATGGACAAAGAGAAGCTTATCATTGCTGTCCAAAGGAGATTGATGATATACAGCAAAGAAAACAAAAACCTATCACAACCGAGATAGATCTATCATTTCTGTGTATCGTCCTTTACTTGTGGAATAAAAAGATGGTGTTCCCCATGTACGCTACGATTGCAATAAATTGGGTGAACACCATATTTTCGAGAATTCCGTTTTAATTTCAATAATAGATTTTGTAAAATTCACCACAGCAATATGATTCGTTTTTTCCTCCTGGAAAGCGCCATGTATTTGTCCCTCCATGTGTGACATCAATTTGCCGGACAGTAACTGCCGGCTCTACCGCAAACACTGCATGGCAGGGAGTTGCCGAAGGCAGGTGGCCGACGGCAACTTGCCGGGTTTAGCTTGAACTTAAGCTAATAATACCTTAATGACATGGGTGGAGATATCATTTGAGATGCACAGGCGGCGAGATGAAAATAACACACTTAGTTGCATTTTTAACGCACATCTTGTTCTTCAGCAGGCTCTATGCGCTTTACAGCCATTCGTAATCAAATACAAGTAGTTACCACAGTTGGGAAAAGGATCACACATATGAGGAGGGTTCAAGAAACCTTTGGTCTAAAGATAAAGGAATAAATAGAGCTTTGTAACTTTGCACACATACTTTTACTTCTCTACATAGTCACCATGCAGAGTAACACATTTCTGCCACGTCTCTTTGACCTTCAACTACCAGTCCTCGACAGCTTCAGTGACTTCCTCGTTGTTATGGAAACGGAGTCGTTTGGGTGATATTTTAAAGGTTAGAAAACACTTAGAGAGTCTGAGGGGGGTAGGTCAAGTGAATAAGCTTTCATTTAAAGCCGCTCTGTTCTGCTGTCTGGACTGCTTGTTGTGCCCTGTTCGCATGGGCGTTGCCATGCAGTAGGAGGACCCCAATACGGACTTTTCCACACCTTTTTCTCCCCAATTTGGACCTGAGTTTTATCAGCAAACCCGAGTAGTAGTAGTCTCTTATGACTGTTTTTCCATTTTCCAGTTAGTCAGTCATGATGATACCTTCACAATCCAAGAAACACAAAAGCATGACATTTCCACTTGACAGTGTTATACGGGGTGTCCACTACGACTGGATCAGGCCGATCGCCCGACTCGATCGCCTGAAACTGAAAACAAACACGTTTATTTTTTAGGCGAGCGAGTCGGGCCGTAGTGGGCACCCCGTATTACTTTGCCTTCTTTGGTGAGGGAGAAGAAGGGGTTTTCCATTGTATGGAGGCATTTTTGTTTGTTCTGGACCAAAATGACAAATCTATGTTTCATCCACAGTCAGCATGTTTTTGAAAAAAAATTGTGTCATTAGACTCATTTCGAAAGAAAGTTCTGCAGGACTCAACTGTCTGCTTCTTTTGCTCACTTGTCAAAAGGCGGGGTACCTACCGAACAGACACCTTATTCATGTTAAGATGATAATAGAGAATGGTTTCAATTGACCCTACACTGATTCCCCTTTCACCTGAGAGCTGTTTAACAGTTATACGTCGGTCTTGTAGATCCAGTTTCTTCATTGTGGATCGATTCTCTTCAGTTACCACAGAAGATGGGCTCCCTTCACGATCTTCATCCATCTCTGACATGAATCTAGATCTGAATTTTCTTACCCAGTGTGTCACAGTATTATAACTAGGACATTTATTGTCGCAATAAACTTGGACCAATTTTCCTGAAAAATGTCCCTAGGGGATTTCCCTTGCAAGTGTAAAAACGTAATAAATGAGCGATATTCAACAGGCTCCATAGCATAGCTTCAACAATGAAAAACAATCGTTTTTGTGTATGGTTTCTTTGAACACGCTGACTAGCGCCCTATTATAGTCGGATTTTCCAGAAAATTTGCATGGTGTGTTCCAAAGAAATTGTCTAGAGGCAGGCGAAATTTCATTACTCTACCATGCTTCTTTCAAAGCCAGACCAAAGACTTATT